CCCCCCTCGCCCCCCTCCCCTGAAGAGGAGGAAGAAGAAGAAGAAGAAGAAGATGACCCCCCCGAACCAGAGCCAGAACCTGAAGGGGAACCTGAAGGGGACCCCGAAATTGAGCTTGGGGGGGGGGAACCGGAAACAGACGCCCCACCACCACCGGATCCCCCTTACCCTCCCAGTTTGGCTGATCACGAATATACGGCTCGTCCCGGGGGGGCGACTGTTTTTGGGGTGGCCCAACCGGGACGAGCCCCCACCCCGATGGCACCCGGAGTCTTCCTCACCCAACGCCGGCCCCCTCCCGCTTCATCCGCTGCTGCCCAGGGTAAGTTTGAGGAGTGGGGAGAGATTTGGGGGACCCTCCCCTCTGTGTTAGGGGATGGGGGGTTTAATGCGTCCCTCCCGTTTTTGCAGGAAAACGCCCCAAAAAGGGGCTGGCTACAGCCAAGCAGCGCCTGGGCCGGATCCTCAAGATCCATCGCAATGGGAAGCTGCTGCTCTGAAGAGGGGGGGCGGGGCCGGCGGCGGGCCACGCCCACAAGGGGGTGGGGCCAGCGGCAGGCCACACCCCCTTGTCATCCCCACCCCCCCTTGGATCTGCATTCACTGCAGGGGCGAGCTGGTGTAGGGAGGGGGTGTGGCTAAGGTGGGGTCACGCCCATGGGGTTGGGTTTGAGTGGAGCTGCCCAGTGGGGGTGTGGCTTGCGGCGGGCCACGCCCCCCCGCAGGCGGAGCCCCGCCTGCTTTGTACCCATGGATGCTGAGCTGAGGGGGTGTGGCCAGGTGGGGGGCACGCCCACGGGAGAAGGCGTGGCTTACAGGGAGACTACACCCCCCAACGCAGGCAGAGCTCCGCCTGCAGCCAGTGCAGGGAAGAGCGGCTGCTCTGAGGGGGTGTGGCCACGCAAGCCCACACCCACAGCGAGGTGTCAGCCAGGCCACGCCCACGCAGGGGCGGGACTGCCGCCAGGCCACGCCCACCGCGGGAAACTGCTCCTTGCTCCTTCCCATTGGTTGCCGCCGAGACGGAGGGGGCAGGACTTTCTTTCCCACTGGATGCCGCTAAGAGAGGAGGTGATTGGGGAAGCCAGGCCCGCCCTCGGACTGGAGAAGGAGCGGAGCTTTTGCTGATTGGTTCCCACTGGATTTTTTTTTTTTTACCCCCTCCCCCACGTGTCTTCAGGTTGATTGATGGGGGGTGGGGCCGCTTCCCATTGGCTGCCCCCGGTTTTGTAGGCGTGTCCGGAGGCCGCGGCCCCGCCCCCACTTTTGTATTTGTTAGAATAAAAAAAAAAAGAGAGAAAAAAAGGCAAATTAATTAATAATTAAAAGAGGACCCGGGTGTCCAGGGGAGTCATGTGACCAGCCTTCCCCCCGCCCCTTGCGCGCGGCTCAAGGGAGCTCCCGCTGAAGCCTCGTGAGATCTCGCAGAAGGGCGGGGCTCGCCTGCTGCTGAGATCTCGCGAGATCTCG